CATGTTTTTGAAATTTTGTGTGTTTATGATAAATAAAAAACATATCTAATGATGTATAAACTAATATTTAAAAAAAAGCTAAACATGAAACATGTCAGATTTTGCCTTTTCAAAAGTATTTTTTTGTCTATACATATTGATAGAAAGCAAGAAAAACTATACATATTTAATTTTTTAATGCTCTATTATCCTGCCCAGTAACTTTTTTCTGTGATGAAATAAAACTGAATGAAAGAGGTTTAATATCCTGTCTTGGCTTCTATAGCCATCTGGTGAGCACAACTTGAATGAGACCTTTGCAGTGTCCAATGCTCAATGTTCTCAAACTTGGCTCAAATTTGGCTTCTTCACAAAAATACCTAACTAGTTTTAAGGGAAAACAACTGCTTGTATGATATCCATATTTCACAAAAATACATTGTTAACAACTCATAGAAATAAAATGAATTCTATTTTACCACTTCAATGGCAGTCAACGCAATTATTCTGGAATTTGTGCTTGCCACCAAACCATGTGACCTCCATAGATGATTACACTCTGTAATAATCTCTTACTAAGTGAGTATTACAAAAAAATGATCTTTTTAGAAAAAAACCCCAGGGACTAAATTTGAATGTCGGCATGGATTCACTAACCATTAGTAAGTATGGGAAAATTGTTGTTTACCCCAGGAAAATTCTTTGGCCAAAAGAATTTTTTTTTGCCAAAAAAGAACAGTTGTTATCCCTTTAAATAAATAAAAGTTCAATGCTCTTTCTAACCTCCTTTTTTACTTTCTTCTTTCAAGTTAGTACACTGAAATAATACAGTTTTAACCATAAAACAGTGAATAAGAATGCTCTGCACAGCCATATTAAATTAAAAGGTCTACTTTCAATCATTTCCAAGCAGCTTAATTTTTGCCAATTTGAATGGAGAAGACATTAACCTATCACAGTGAGAAGCATCACAAAGCCCTACTTGACATTCTACTCTTCGTCTTTGAGAAGATTGGCACAGCACGGCACATCAAATTATAGTGGCACGGTTTGATGTTTTTAAAGGGCAATGTTCTAGAAAGTTGCTAGTATACCACTGGTGATTCCAGGGGTTTTGTCTAAGAGGGGGAGGGGGTAAAATGATAACCCTTAGTAAATTGAAAAAAATTGCAGCAAAGAATTTGCAGGAGTTTGCAAGAAAAATTTTATTGCTGCTAATGTGCAGCCATATTGCATCAAATTTGAGGAAGGAATTGCAGTTTGCAGCAAATTTGCAGCAGGTCTGGTAATTTGCAAGATGTAAAATGTGTTAATTTCATGACAGAAGCAAAAAAAAAAAAGCAAAAAAAAAAATAAAATAAATATATATATATAAAATGGTAGATAAGAACAATTTCAATATAATAAGTGGGATACAGGGATTAAAAAATGCTTGGTTTTGTCGTACTTTACCAATGATATACAATTTTTGGGATAGATAGGGAGAGGGGGTAATACTGGAGCACATGATCCATAGTGCACCCACCCCTTCCAGATTCTGATTATAAAACCTGTGCTGCCAAATAAGTGTAATCTGTTTTAGTATAACTTACTAATAAATTTTATGGTTTGTGCTTCATCTTTTATAAAATCATTTCAGAACTGAGAAAAACTTTAAATCTAACTTGATTCTTTACAAAATATGAACAGAAAACAGAATGCCAGCTTGTAGAGTTCACAAATATAATTCCCAGACGTTTTAATTAATTTGATTAGAGTCAATTGCTTGTGCACTCGACTAGTTTATGACCTTACCTGTAATTATGTAACTTAAGTGGACGTGTGCAATTTGAATAATTAAAATTACCTTACGTAAATCTGACACGAACTGTGGAATCTTTGGGTCGCGTTATCCACTAAGTTAGACAGAAATGTAATGTCCTATTTCGAGCCCACGCTTGAATTAAGCGTACAAAAATTATATAAGTTTAGGACATTCATCTCATATGTATATGTAAAGGTACATAACAAGCTGAGGACATACCGATCAAAGTTGTTCATCATTCATATCATGGGTTTATTCTAAAGACTTGTATTATGCAAATTAACATACTTCATATCTAATAGTGGATCCTGAATACCAAGAAGGGAAGAGGAAAATTACCCTCACTTATGAAGCCAAGTATAGAATGACACATAGACTATACTGTAAATCGATCATCAGCTTCTTTATTCTCACTGTAGAAGTACATTTGAACATACATTATACATCTGATTAGTGACAAATGGCTAAAGAATGACTCAGATTTGGAGTAGTGCGGGGGATTTACATCTCCTGTTCACATGACCCACATGACAGAATAAGCGGGAATATGTGACTTAATAATGTCACATCTTGGCAACCGGTTACACTTATTTCAAGTTATTTGGAATACTTTTCATCACTCCTGTGCACCTCAGCTTGGTATTTCATTATAATTGATGGGAGGCAAAGCGGGGTAACCTCTATGTCCCCAGATCAACCCCCCCCCCTCTTATTCTCTTCCCTATGTCATTACCCCATGGTAAAATCGCAACATTACCTGCATCAATATGGCGTCACATCTTTGAAAAAATGATGAGGGTGGTGTAGGGGTGTGGGCTAGTAATGGTGGAGAGGAATAACGATGTGTGTGTGTGTGTGTGTGTGTGTGTGTGTGTGTGGAGAGGAATAATGATGTGTGTGTGTGTGTGTGTGTGTGTGTGTGTGTAGAGCAGATCTGAGGTACGTCTACACCGAAGTCATGCGTCACGTGATCGTCTTGTGTGAAGATATTGATAAGGGGGAGTAAGGATGTGGTGACGTGAGAAGATGACTCTCACCTAACCATACCATGCCTACTGTGGTCACTGCTTGTTTCAACCTATCTAGGCCAACTCATGGGTTTATCCCTTATGTCTGTGTGAACCATCCATACCATCCCTACCATGACCCTTCCTTGTTTTAGCCTATCTAGGCCAACTCATGGGTTTATCCCTAATGTCTATGCGCCAAGCAAGTTACTTTGGCTGCTTATCAAGTAAATGGAATTATAGGCTTTGATCCAAGGTTACATGCTGGTGCTGGCATGAAAATATATATAGTGATCTAACCAATCAAAGCTACCACTAAACCATGGTCAATATGTGTAGGTGAACATTAAAAAGAAGTAACAGTCGCCAATTATCTTGCTGTTTACTTGTACCCAGGCGAACTTTTAGTCTGCAAACAAACAAACAGGTGAACATAAAGTACATAAGCAAGTGAGAAGGTCATTGAACTTTTCCTCATTCTTTGTAAGTTATCCAATATGTAAGGAATAAATAAGGCTGCCTGCAGCCCTGCCCTCTCTCTCTCTCTCTCTCTCTCTCCTGATTTCACCTGTTTTTAACAGACACCAAAGGAATGGAAAAGATTTGTTTGCAGAGTACCTGTCATCACGGTGACTCTATAGTTCTATACTATGGAGTTGAGAGAGAGGAAGAGAGTTGTTTTAGTCCCCCCCCTTTAGAAAGCTGTCAGTACCACTGTCTACTGCCTCTATTCTCTATGTAACTTCCCCTCAATCATGTAGCAAGTGCACTTGGGAAAACTTTAGTCCTTTATAAAACCCATTGTGATTGATAACACCTTTGTTTTCTTTGTAATAATATGAAATTTCTACATTTCTGAACCTTCATGCAAGAAGTTCTGTAAAAAATTTTCTCATTATTATTATGTAACCAGATTATAGTTTCAAATGGACATAACCTGTCGAGTATAACTAAGCTAATTGCACTTTACTACTAATGTTATTATCATTTAGATAAAAAATGACCACCAAACAAATGACAGATATTAGGTTTTTCAGTTGAATGAATCAGGAAAAATTGACAAGTTATTACTGAAACATGAAGCTACATGTAAGCATCAATAAATGTCTCTTTTTCTGGACATGCCCACTATGGAGACTGCACTTAAAGACCTGCCAATTTATACCACATTCAGTGGAACACAATACTTAATGTCACTAATCTACTTCATAGACAATTGAGCCAATTGATATGAATTACTAGTGGGCATTAAATACAACCAAACCACATGTCGTGTAAGGGCAACAGTATCCAATCGAATATGAAATTAGGGATAGGTTGAAATGGCCCGACATAACCAGTCATTTGTGAAGGTTCTCTGTTCCAATGCCACAACAAATAACTACAAATCAAACACCATGGCACATGGGGCCACTCATGGGACCATCTTCAAACCAAAGTGAAAGAGGTTCAGTGATTATATTAGGGGCATCTCGATAGTCTGAAGGTTCATTGGTCCGAAGGTGCTACAGTGAACATTCTGACCAATGAACCTTAGGACTATTGAACCTTCTGACTATTGCTATGGTCCCTTTATATCTAGTCAGCCATTTAGGAATAAAAAAATCTCATTTCAATGGGATACTTAGGGGCATAACTTCATGCAACAGGGCCACCCCTGAGGTCAACGAGATGGGCGAATGATGGGCCTTTATGACACACATCTTTAGAGCCCATCCAGAACAGCAGACTAACAGATCCGTGGATCACAAATGGCGACCCATTAAAAAGCTTGCCGCTAAGTTCCAGATTAGACACTGAATAGATTATTCCCACTGGGGATTACGCAACAAGCCTTCAGGTGGGGCAGCCATATTTGGTCCGCTGTTCTGAATGCACTCTTACACCCCATTTCCATAGATTAGATCGACCTACTTTAGATCGACCTAACTCCCTGGGGGTTCACGCTAAATAGCTGTCAGCCAAGCGGACACGAAAGTTAATTACCCCCTTACAGTTTGTGGTAGGCTGGACGGACATTTAAGCCAGATTATCTGACAGTAATCTAGTGAGACTCCCCGCGGGGATAGATCGATCTAAAAGCTCTGGGAATGCAGCCTTAGTGGAGGCCTTCAGGTAAAGTGCAGAGAACCCACCAGGATGGCTAAATTTGGGATGCTGATAAGATAAATGAAGACAGAAGAAAAAATAACAACAAAATCTAAACTTACAGGTTTTTGGACTTCTTTTTTGCTTTTTCTTCTACTACAACTTGCGGTATGTCCACTTCCTGTTCCATCTTGTCCATCTGAAGAAAAGTCAAACACATATCAGTGAATGAACAGGTTCAAAATATATATCAATCAATGCAAGACAGAGACTACATTTGTTTTCATAACCTTTCAGATGTGTAAAATGAGTCTATTGTCACATATATTATACAACACCAAATAATAGGCTGTGTGAGAGATTAAAGCCTCGTTACAAAACTGTGCTTAAACTACACCAATCAAAATCAGTCTTGATATAAATGAACACTCCCTGTCTCTCTTACTATAACTGTTATTAAGAAGGTGAAATTTAATAAATGTAATGCATATATTAACATATGTTATCACGTTTGTTTCATGATTCAAGCCAATCAAATCAGTTTTGATAAAACCATCTTAAATTAAATCCAAAACATTATCAGATATATATATTTATATATAAAATAATGATTTCCTTGCTGTATAAGGCAACCCACGGCAAAATCACTTCCGCAGATAATGTGAAGGCATACACTGGTGACATAATATGTGGGTGGAGTGCTACAGATTTATCTTATTGCATTTAGGGATTAAAACAAAGACCTCTGAAGTAAATTACCTATCATCTGTAGGGGTTTCAACACCAGGCCTACCCAACTACCAGACTCGGCACCGAATGATCCTGAATTCACCGGTAGATCAGACCACACTACCCGTTTTCAAGGTGTGAGTCAGTACGCATTTCACAGTATCATACCCTGAACAAATTTTGAGTGGTGATGCAATGCTTTTCAACCCCGCTGAGAATCGTCACTATCACATCGCGTACTAGGCAAGAGCGGTGTCGTGTCTGATACTGTGAAATGCGTACTGATACACACCTTGAAAACGGATAGTGTGGTCCGATTTACCGGTGAATTCAGGATCATTCGGTGCCAAGTCTGGTAGTTGGGTAGGCCTGAACACAACTGAAAGACGCATAATGATATTCTCATTCAGGAAATTCATTCCAAATCACCCCCACTACTCATTCTTGTAATTTCTGGAGCTGACCAGAACCAATTCCCACTCTTTCCTTGGAAAAAAATTCATATTGAAGTTTTGAAAATTGATTAAAGTCACACCCATATCTAATGGAAATTCTTTAATCATACCCATATCTAATGGAAGTTCTTTAAAACAGTTACCATCTGTTTCAGTTGCTTTACCATGAGGGGATTTCACAATATAATATTCAGAATTCAAAGATTTGTATGCTGCTCTATGTAATAAATTGCCAAATTTTCTGGGTGCTTCCTTTTCTAAATTGCTATGTTCATTCAACATAGTTGATGATGATGATGATGAAAAAAATCTTACTGGTACATTGTCTGGTAATCCACATTAAACCTAGTCTGACTTTGAATAAATAAATAAATAAATAAATAAATAAATAAATAAATAAATAAATAAAGTTCTTACCAGTCCTTTAATGATCAGTTTTCAAATATGACCACTGAAACGTCTGTCTCTTTTAATCTTTCCAGTTCAAATGAAGGTTCAGAATGAGAAGGGATTATCTAATCAGCCATTTTCACTCTTTCACCTCTATGTTGTCCACGAATTAAGTGAGGCACTTTTTTTCTCTGCACTAAGTGATCCCTAACCAAGCACCAGTCATCAATTAAACTAAATGCTAATCCGCTGTCAATACTGATGTGATTACCTGAATATCATCCTTACTTTAGTTTCAAGATAAAAACTCATGGCTCCTATTACATCTATGAATGAAGCATGCAGCCAATCCATATCCAAAAACAGTGGCTTTTAAATCCTGTCCACAAATTATTGGAAATCCAGGTACTTTTTTCATGCAACAAATAAGATCCAATTAAAAATGGTCTCTTTTTATCATATGAGTTTTCCACCAAAATTCTAATACATACTTGTCATGGCCCAAATGAACTAGAACCGCTAACTACTGAATAAGACTATATGTCCAATTTACACCTCATTATTTTGACAGTATAACAGAACTAGTAAATAAAGCAATGTTTTTTAATAGTGATCATATTGTATAGCTCATTTCTACTATTGTATAGCTCATTTCTACTTTGTGATAATCAACATTAGAGTGTAAAGCAAATCCCAAGGCAAAAAAACAATTATTCTACATATATCTGAAATAGGTAGAATGCTTCATATTGCCATTGCATATTCACATATTGTGCTAGAAAAGCTGAAATTCAATGATTCACTCTAAATTTTGAATAAAAATCCATATGAACTTACATGGCTTATTTACGACAAATGTACCAAATGCAGCAGCACAATAAATGATATTCATATATTTGGTTCTATATCAGATATTTTCTACAGCCCTTTCTATATATTCGCATTAATTACTGATGTGCCAATATGTTTCATATGGATTTACTTTCCAAGCCTTATTTCACTAACCTGGCTAAAATGACTATTCTGTGTCTAGTGTACATGCTCTACATCACAAACTACAGCCTGGTGCTGAAGCATGTAAGCTATTGCAAGACAAATAACCCTGTCATACCATCATGTATGTACAGACCATTTCTACCCTCGATATTCCTTCAATCCTACAGTTCTCCGTCACATTTTGATCCGACATTTCTGCAAACATCTAACTGCCCTGCCTCCATTCGCCACACCAAGGCTCTATTATCTTCCTCCGATCACACATTCATCAGTAGCAGCCACGGTACTGCTATTTCTGCTGCTTACAGTCGCTGTTGCCGCTACAAGCCTTTCTAAGATAGCTATAGACTTCATCAACACCAGCAATATGCTCAACCAATAGCCCTGTACAATTGTACAGGCCCCTGAATATGTTTAGAGGAAAGGCTACAGCAAGATGTTAGTATCTGATGGGGCAGGTTATTGATGGAATATCTTCATTCTGATTTTAGAGAGACTGGAATTTATTAACTCAGCTGGTTGGGAGGCATTTTTGGTCCCTTCTTGATCTAGTACACGAGAAGTGGAGATAGGATGTGGATGTTCTGCTGATGAAAAGTGGAAATTGTCATAAAAATCAATCAAAGTTAACCTTTCATCACCCTGGGTTTCAAAGAATATTGGATATTCTCTTCTCTGGAAGCATAAAAAGGTGATGAATAGTGTATTATGCTGAGAAGAGGAGTTTTTTTTTTCGGCAGTTCTATCAAGGCTCAGGGTGCCGCTGATGTATTCTGGCCCTAAAAATAACCATGTGGTCTAGAGTCTAACAAATCACTTTTGATTTATAATGAACATCTTCTGTAAAATGCTCTAGCTAGAAAGTTATAAGGGCCAATTATAATTTATCAAAATATTGCAAATTCTGTGATTTATAACTATGGCCATTAGACTATAGTACTCGTATGGTATGTCTTAAACATTTAAATATTGTTAGTTGTAAAAAATAATATCATACAGGCATGCTTTTAAAATTGGTTTTCTGTAGTTTGGATGCCCTATTTTGCATATAGGTCTTAAAAACACATAGTGGTAAGTAATTGTATGCTGGAGTAGTCTATTCATGGTAGTTAATTCGAGTTTGGAATCCTTAATTTGGGTGTTTGTTCTCACAAAACTGAGGTGCGAGTGAGAAAACCCCCAACCTATTTATAAGGTCTGTAACAGATACTATATTTTTTAGTTATATTTTTTTAATTAGAACATTACTATTGAGTGATAATAACAAGATAAGAAAACAGCACAAAGGTAATATAAAAAATTTTTTTTGTGATTATAAAATTGTTTCTAAAAGTTTGATAAGCTTTTCCCAAAGATCGAGTAATAACTATAATTTTTCCTCACAGCTCATTATCAACTTGGCCATGTACATTCACTAAGAAAACTGTCAATTTTCCAGCCTGCTGTGCCAAGTTACATAACTAGAAACTGTAGACAATTGTAGCCACATTAACATGATTGATGTTTAATGTTCTTCTTTTCCATCCCTTTTCTAAATTTTAAGATTCTTGCAAACTGTTGCAGCGAATTTGCAAAAAAAAATTTACCATGCAAATGAGCTGCTGATTTAAACTAGAAAGGATATGAAGACTTCTTGCAAATTTGCCACAAAATTAAGGTGCTCTTACAAATTTGCTACAAATTTGCAGCATTGTAATTGTTTCTTGAAACAACCTACAAACAGTTGCTTGCAAGCCATTAAGTTTGCAGCAGATTTGCATCCAATTTATACAACTTTTTGGTAAGGGATTTGATCAGTGAAAAAGTGACAAAAAAAAAAAAAAAAGCTAAAGCAATCTTCATTTAATGTGTGCTACATTGAAAACAGGGTTGCTTATGATGAGCATTTGTTGTGTCACCTTTTGTTTTGCATACTATATTACATCACTGAGACTATAAAACAAACACTTTGCACGATTTGTATGACAATAATCCACAATTATGTTAATCTTTCAGACAGATCACCTTTTCAGTTAATTATTAGATTCCTCAAACCCCCCCCCCCCAAAAACAACAAACAAACAAAACCTGTGCACAATCCAACAGTTGAGACAAGTAATAGTTGTTCAAATAAAAGTGTTAAACTGAGAGTTACACACCTTTTGAACTGAGCATATAGACTATTTTTACATCGAGCAGACTACATAACTGGAAAGATCCACTTTGAGAGGACTGAATGTACATGTAATTACACTACTGTGGGTTTACTTCCTTTAACAAGTGAACAGCAAGTTTCAAGCCCTAGATAGGCATATTTTTAATAAAAATTGTTTTAAATTAAATTAATGTTGTTGTAAATGTCACACATGTATAGAACAGGGCAGTACCGGTACAGTAGAGGGTGCCAAGTTATGTTAAGAAGACAGATAGAGCTGCCATAACTATGTCACACATTCACGCTGCTGAATTTTTGTTTTAGAATGTCCCTGAATTGACTATTGATTGTCTGCCTAAATGACAGGATATGCTTATTATTGAATTCTCAGAATTTGTCCCATAACATATACCACTACTCTGAATAATTATAAGAAGACAAGTAACATGTAACTGCCGATGCTGTGTACTATCTTTATCTAAATATGGCTCACTTTTGACATTGTATCCTGACAATTAGCTATTAAAGACATATAATAAGCATATACAGCATAGAAGAAATTAATAATTTTCCTGGAAATTTAAACAATTTTCCCTGAATAACCAAGGTATGCATACCCAAAACATTTTCACAGAATAATGATTTATGAACCCAATTTTGAGTTCTTGGTTTCTAATTTTGAGACATTCATAAGTGAGATATTTATGTTTATTAACAGGGGGCAGTTTATTTTGAGAAGAAGCAAAAATTCCAGCGAGTACCAAAAATAAAATTTGCAAGTTTGTCATAACATTTTCAATGCTCTCATAATATTTTGCAACACTGTCAAAATATTTGGTAACATTGTGATATTATTTAGCAATAAGGCATATTAGAGAATAAGCAGCAAACAAAAGTGTGTGTGTGTGTGTGTGTGTGTGTGTGTGTGAGTGCGTGGGCGTGGGTGCATGCCTGCAACATGTATTTCATAAAATTTTTATCAGTCCAGTATACCATGTTTATGCACATAATAACTTTTGTACATGTATGGAAGACTTTATTGTATGCACATTTCAAACCAACCTTTATGTTATGTATACTGACCTGACTTGGCTGTGAGCTTCGTCTGGGCAAGTTACCACTGGAGGCAGGCATTGCTTTCTGCAGAAACAAGGCATAAGCTGGCACATCTTTTGTACAACCTGCACTGTGGCTTCTACGTATAGGACGTAATATTTTCTTAAAGCGGTTCTTGCGGACTTCTCGCTCCTTCGTGTCCTGCCCCTCCGCAGCCCCTTGTTCCACCTCTGTGGGTGTGCTTTGTCCACTTGAAATGGGGCTGCTGGGAGGAACATCTAAGTGTTCTGAACTGCAGCGAGATTTTGATCCATCAGATTCCAGCTCTATTGCACTGTCATATGCATGTTTGGAGTGCCGTGAGGGCGAGGGGGACAAACCTCGTAGGCGACACTTATCTTGAAATTGAACAGCTAACCGGGCCTCTGGTATATCTTCTTCTTCTAGGCCTGTGTCTGTGTGGCGCCGCAATGCATGATGGTGCCCCCCTGGTACTGTAAGGTAGTCCCCATAGGTTTTCTGTCTCTGGTGTTGCACCAGGGAGGGGGAGGTGTCTGTGTGTCTGCGTGTCTGCAGTGCATGTCTGTTAAAGACTGGACTGGCCTCCCTGCTTAGCCCCTCTTGGTCACTACCGCCATCTTGATAATGACGGCTGCTACTTGAGGAGTCCTCCAAGTGAACGCCCTAAAAACATAAATTCAGGAATTTTTATTCATTGTCTTCATGATATAAAATACAACATGCAAGACATATTGTTTCTCATGTTTATACACTACAAAAACAGTTATAAGTATGAAATAATATTTTATTCATATTTGTCTTTTACAGAAATGAAACAATTTCAAAACTGCATAGTACATAAAGTGTATGTAGTAACAAATGCTTTCAGAGCTCTGCAGACATAAACAATTTTTATTTCATAATTCTCTCTCTCTCTCTCTCTCTCTCTCTCTCTCTCTCTCTCTCTCTCTCTCTCTCTCTCTCTCAAATTGCATGCTGTTTGCACCATAATGTCAATTGCCTGGATTCTGTTTAGTTGGCCACTGATCATTTTCTACTGCCTGTTACCTGTTGTAAGAAATTGAAAACACCTGCCCTACCTGAAGGCCTTGGGAAAGTTATACAACTACATGCAGGAAGAGTGCCTCCCTCTCTTTCTACTTGTTGTCTCTCCCATCATTTTCCTTTACTCTCTCTCTCTCTCCCTCTCTCTCTCT